AATATTTATTGTTTATCTATTATTGGCTGGTAATTCCTGTTTAATCCTGTATTTAAACTTTTTAAAGGAACACCAAATTTCTCTGAGAAAGCTAACTTCAGTGGGTAATGATAACATCATTTACACAAGAATTATGATTTTTTTAAATTACTGCTAGTTGTTAATAATACCAATAAAAGTGGATACTCCACTTGAAACTGTCACTCCAGTGAAATTGGTTGACACCATTGTTTTGGTTTTTGAGTTATCATGTAATAGAAGTAAAGGAAAGAACAAGAAATTCAAACTTTTTGCTATGATATTTACAGACATTCCCAGAACTTTTGGCTTGGTCATCACATAGATATTGTTATAAAAGGAAACACTGTATAGTATTGTAAAGTTCTATTGACCTATTCAGTAAATACTTAAAATACCGTTTCAACGAACAATCAGAGCCATCTTTGCATGATATATTTTATTTTGCCAAAAAAAATTAAGTTTTTTATTGCTTATTTTGTCAATACTTGAATTTAAAAAAGTTAGCCCACTTTCTTGTATTATATAAAATTTTATTTTGTTACATGATTCTAAAATCACTTCATTTTAATTACCTTTTGTGTTCCTTTATAGAGATTGAACAAGAGAAAAAATCCTGCAAATAAAGCAAAGCCTGATTTGCTGGTTCCTACATATACAGGAATTGGTAAATAGAAAACCCACCACTTGGGAAACTTGCATTATAATCGATTTGGCAAAAAACTGGGATAGAAAGCTTTCCAAAGAACTGTCAATTCCTGAAGAGAATAGACAATTTTATTTAATGAAATTTAACTAAAGAAAACATCTAGCTACCAGAAAACAAAATGAAAAAAACTAATCCTTACTAATGTTTGTAAACCTAACTTGTCTTGTGAAGAATGGTATTATTATTATTATTGTTGTTGTTTTTTAAGTGTGGAAATTTAACCAATTGGATACCATTACATGCAGTCTTAACACACCAAAGAATTGGCTTCTAGAAACTGGATTAGATAGTTGTAAGTACTTACTTCTCTCATTAGTTCACTGTCTTGAACAAATTCAATAATTTACAATTTAAATATTATTTCTTCCTAATATTCAAATTAAGACGGTCCATCCTGTCGTGTCACTTTGATTCAATGAGCATTCGTTGGAGTATTTGAGGTTGCATTTTTTTTTTTGTATTGTTAAAGAAACTAGTCAAAATTAGTAGCTCGTTTTGATTGATATATATGGAGTTTCCACATTTAAAAGAAAAATGTAGAAATATGTAACAGGAACATTCCTTTTTTAGCAATAAAATCTTTGATATGAAATAATTCCAGGTTTTTTGGGAACAAGCTTTTTTATTGCATTTAAAACAATAACTGTACACAAATTTGATGCATATCAATATTTGTGTTACTTTAGTTTTCTTGAATAAAGTGATTGCATTTATATGTGTGTGTTCAAGTTTAACTTGGTTAAATTCCTTGCAACATTTTTCAATCTGCAAACAATACTTTACTGCTAATCTTCCACTCTGCTGCTGATGGAATATTTTACTCAATAGCAAATAATACGTGCAGTATGCACAACATGATAGTGCAAAATGTTAACTTTTATATTACATACCTCATTTATTCATTGGAAAACCTACTTTTTTGTGAGAGAAAGAATACTTTCAAACTACTAAGGCATTAACTGATATTGTGATTTGGATCTAAGTATAGTTTTAAGTTAATTTTTCTTTCCTGTAATACCCAGTTCAACTTTATTCACAACAATACCACCTATTTTGCAAGATAATTCCTCTACACTCCTGATAAAGTATTCTTCATATCATTAGACATTAGTAAAGCAACAGCATGTAGGACTAACCAACTAAGCCATCTGGACTTCTGCCCTAATCATAATGTAGACTTAATTCTAATGGTTATCTGAAATTAAGACAATGTAGAAAGCTGCACTAATTGATACAAAATAGAACTGAGTGATTAGTGGAATATGCTAATAAACTAATCTTTTTGATACCTGACCTGTTTTGCAGAAATTAAAAGGAGCAAGGTGAAAATTGAAGTATATTAAACACTGATATCAATAAAATCTTTACAAGCATTTTGTACTTTTTTTTTCTAATTCCATCATCAGCATGAAAAAAAAAATCTTTATAATTATATAAAACTAAGTGAAGTTTTTGATAAGGGTAAGTATATAAAGAACTTGTTAAAAAATTGAATACCTTTACAATAGGGCTTTGGAGAAATTACAAAAACACATTCAACCTGAGAAAGCAATAAATCAAACAACCTGAAGCTTGTTTGTACTAAACAGTGATGACAGCCAGACTTGTTTTCCCATTTTCAGTTCTTCTTATCAAGCTACAGCTAGTCATAATTAAACTATTTTTGTAAATAGGATAATGAATGAATAGTTACTCATAGTTTACTCTCTTCTGACAAACACTTAAGTTAAAAAGTTATTCAGCAATTAAAATTTTGTTTCAGCATAAAATATTGAATATTAAGTTGCCCAAACTTTGTTTATTAAAGCAATCTTACCCTAACTGACGCTGGTTATGTTTGTAGCTAGTAATATTAAGATAGCACTGACCCTTAATGAGCACCCCCAATATTTCAAGTCACATTTTTCAAATTTAGCTTAAAATTGAAAGTTTAACCTCTTTTTCTATATAAATAACTGTATTTTTTATCTTAAAATATTTACTAATTTACCTGTAGTAAGTAATTAAAAATAAGTCTAGTTTGTTTTCATTCAGTTTCCATTTCATCATTAAAGCCAATATCAGCATGAAATTTAGCACATTTGTTGATATTACTCTTTCATATCTCATATTTTTTTAAATTCAGAAATCTTTGTCTTGTTATGAATAATTGCCTCTAATGATAGCATTAATTAAGATTAATTGCCCACAGCTTGTTAACAATGAAGAAAATTTGCAGAGGTTTTAATTCAAGCTATGAGAATGTTCACAAAGAGCATGTGTATCAATTTTCATATGTTTTATCATTCCTAAGTAAAGTTATGGTGTTAAAACTGTGTATTTCTTTATCCCTGCCACATTAATTATACACATGACATATATGACTGAAAGTGTACTTTCAGAGATTGTGACTTCAACTTCAAGGTTATAAGAAGTGTTGAACAGTTTCCTCAACATGTAAATTTGCCCAGTTTTAAGGGGCAGTCTTAACTTAAATAAGAAATCTATAAAGTTAAATCAATACTTCTTTGTCTAAACAAGGTAAACTCAACAGACATCACTGTGCCTAGTTATGTAACCAAAAGCCACGTCCTCTGAGCCTCAGTAACTTTGCCTTAACTCAATAAGTATAACTTTCCCAAATCTGAAAGGACAAGCATGGTTAGTGGCAATGGTATTGAATATGCAACCCTTGAATCGTAAAGCAAACTATAATCATTGGGCCATGCCAGTTCAAAGCCAAAAAACTCGAATAAATCAAAATGGCATATTTTTAATCCATGGATAAATGGAATAATTGAGAATGCTAATTTTGATTAGTTGGTCATCATCACATAACATTAATTCCTTGTTATTGTAACTTCGGTTAATTGGTCATTAGTTAAATGCCCAGCTCTGATACAGAAGTGGAAAAAATATTATAGCAACACCATTTTTGAGCTGGAACTTAAATATGCATAATAACTTCTGAACTAAAATATTAATCAAAAATAAGTGCCATCATCATTCAGTTCATAATTCATAAAACAAAGAATTGAAGTTTATCATGAATTAAGAGTTCCCAAATCATCAAATGAATGGTAATTTTAAGTCTACTAACTTGAGGTGAATAATGTCACTGGAGTGTAGATATTATGAAATAAACAATGGTTTGAATTTGACATAAGACTTTAGAGTTGGATGGTGTATAGTCTCGTTTTTATTATGCATCACTTTTTCTAAATGAATAACATTTGACAATAAAATGATGGGGCAATTTACTTAATAGAAATCTTTGACTAATAGGTTATGTAAATATTTGAAACTATTTGTACAAACATGCATGTGTGAGTGTGTGCACACAAACTAAACAATTTAATTTGCCTGGTACTACAAATAATGTTCATGTACCTGATCAATGTAATTTGTTTTGGGTATTATGGGTAGATGTTGTCCCACAGAATTTTTCATGTTGGAAAGATTACATCTTCAAATAGCTTAAAAAAAAAAGTAAGCTTGTGAAAAACGCCTCTAAAAAAGGTGTATTTAAATAATAATCGCGTTAAATTTCAATTTTGTTAAAATTTGTTATAAAAAGGGGGGGGAACACAAAATCAAATTATATCTGTATAAAATTGCACACAATTTGGCCAGTTAACAGTTGAATCCATGCGACATAGGAAAGTCATTGCAAATACAAAAACTTTGTGTTTTAATAGTAGTGAAACAATTTTGTCTATATGTGATGCTTAATATGAACAGTATTGTATGCATCGAGACCAAATGTAGAAAAGGAACTGAATAGGCTGGAAGCATTGGTAGAACTTATTACATTTCTTATTCTGAGTGGACTTCATCTTTTGTAAGTATTGTGAAGTCAGGTTCCAGTGTACGAATATGTGGAGATTACGAAGTTATTATAAGTAAATATCTACATAGTGATCAGTACCCACTGCCAATGCCAGAATCGGTTACTGCATCACCAGGAAGTGAAGTAGGGTTTTCCAAGGTAGATATATTTCAGGTTTATCAGTAGTTGAAACTTAACAATGAGGCTGATGAATTGTTGACTATCAACATACTTGCAAATGACTCGTTAGGCTTAACAGATTGAACTTATGGTATTGCTTTGGCACCAGCAATATTTCATAAAATAGAATCCTAAATGGAACTTCCAGGAATTTCTTGTTACTTAGATAATATACTTTTAGCATATAAAATGATCAGCTATGTTCTTAGTTAAGCTGAGTGAACTATTATGGAAAGATTCTGCCTAACTTGTCAACAAGCATTTTAGACCTGTTAGAATACTTTGATGGGACATAAAGTGTTGGTATATTACAAACCAACAAAACCCCTCAAATTTGGTCCTGATTTAAATTCGTGTGGATTAGGAGCAGTAATCTCTCATGCCTCATGGTAAGGAGAGACCAAATGCTTTCATTTCACATACTTTAACTTCCATTGAGAAGACTTATTCGCAAATTGACAAAGTTGCTCAATCTTATATTTGGAGTACAGATGTTCTCTTTATACTCATTGATGGTAATTTACTTTAGTAATTGAACATAAACCACTGTTGGCTCTCTTAGAACCTAAATTTGGTATTCTGACCACTACTGCTGCCCTTGCTATGTATAATTGTCATATCCGATGATGTGACCAATTGTGATGGTCTAAGTAACTGCTTAAGAAACATTATATAAAGGTGTGATCAGCTCATGTACTTGCCATTTTTGGGAGAGGGTTTTTACCCATTACAGCTCTAGGTATTGAAGGATTATGTGTTACCTGAAATGCTGGATTTTACCTTAAACGGGGTGACCAAGTGTTGTAATTGATTCTGTGGTATTACCCTATTATCAAAGGAGAGATTAATTTTCAGTGGGCCAAAATTATCTAAATATATAAATAATAGTATATTTCAGATATGCCTATTCCAAGTGATCTATCAGGATCGTTTTGGCATCAGTTGAGTGAAACCCAGCCGTTGAAGCTATTTTGGGTGGTTTGGAATAGATGCCAGATACATAGAGGAATGCTGTACACCATGCCACACTGGTAGCTCCTTATACATCCCTGGAGAGTTGGACCTCAAGGTCAGAAATATATTCAAAAAAGATTTTGAAGAGCAGAGAAAACATCTTAGTTCTAGTGGATAGTTATTTCAACCGATTAGAAGTGGAGCATACGACTTCTACCACTACTACAGTGACTATATAGAGGTTTATCAGAATTTGTTTGTGCCATGGGGTCTACCTAAAGAGAATGTTTCAAATAATTGGTTGCAATTTACATCCAGTGAGTATGAATTTTTTCTCTGAAAGAACAATATATAGCAGACTTTAACAGCTCCTTATCACCCAGATACTAATGGTATTATTAAAATAGCAGTTCAAACACTGAAACAAGTCCTAAAAGCATACTCTCTTTAATTGTATATGCAGTACACTAACTTACCAGTGTTACAGGTTTCCAATTTTCTGATGGCATACTGTAGTACTCCACATAGTATTACAGAAGTGTCTCCTGCCAAGTTGTTCTTAAAACATAAAATTAGAAATAGGCTTATGTCAGTCAAATCTAGTATTACTGATGCAGTGGAAAGGAAATGAGTTGAAATGGAATTTTATACTGTGGTTAAGAAAGTGAATTTACAGCTGGTGAAATGGTTAGAGGGGAAGAATTTATATTGGGTCACAAGTAGGAATTTGGTGATAGTGTGGAAAAGAAAGGTCCTGTGAATAACGAAGTACA